ATTGCAGTATATTCCAGCAATTTGCATATCCACGAGCTGATACAAAATTCTACTCTAACAGCAGTAATTATTTACTTAAAGCCAAATAGTAATTTTTTGCTTTCATCATATTTCTCTTTCACAGTGTCTGGGTTTTCCATTAAAGTCAACAGGATTTTGCAATGAGAAAGTGCATGAGTTTAAAAGTATACCTCATTACATGAATGTAGAAGAAAATGGTTTCCCAAGTATTTTATGGAATTTAATTATTATTTTTAAATAAATTTTTGGAAAGTAACCTACAGTAAACAAAGATTTATTGTTACATAAATAAACAATGAGACAATTACAGCCTCTTTATGGAGACCATATTAGTCATGCACATCTAATGAAGCATTACTAAGCTATCACAGGGAGATAGCCTGATGTGTGTGATTAACAAAATAATACTCATAAATAGCTAATGAACAATGATGGTCCTTTAAAAATTTTGCATATCCTGCTACATTGAGAGTTATGGTTTTTGTCGCTTTCTAAGGAACACATTAACCACTAATTTCCACCCTGAAAAGGAGAGTATTAAATAGCACAATGCAACTATTTGCATTTTTGCCTTCTACAGGCCATGCTTTTGAAAATACAAAAGAACGCTCATGAAAGTCTACTACTGAAGAATACATTTCAGCTTGTGCTGTACTGTGCTTGAAAGATGACATCTTGAGATGTCACCAGGGTGCAGGGGGAAGATGACAGAACAAATGATCAAAAATTATTTTCATATAATATGCAGCCATGAAATCTCTGAAGTGGCATTAGTAACAATTGTGGTAAATTTTTTATGTTAAAAAAAATGAATGTATTTCCTTCAGGTGAGGTATATATATTTGGCAAACATATCCTGGAGAAGGCAAATGGGATGGATGGCCAACATATGACAGTAGACAAAAAAGGTACATTTGTAAGAAAAAACAGGGTCAAAACCCATGTGTAATGACAATTTTTGGCATACAACAGGAGAACATCCTGTTAGTCAAACTAAATACAACTTCAGAATATACAGCTAATGTCGGGACTTTAACAGCAGAACAATTTGTGTTGTTCTGCCTACCTGAGCAGGCTCCTTCAGCAGAGGAGTGAGTCTATGTAACAGTATACGCAAACCACAGGCTTGCAGGGTGAACTCTGCTAAGTAGGGCCCTTCCTATCACATTCTAAACACATTGACAAGTATTTGAAAAGTGGTATGAAGGGACTTATTTAGATTAATCCATGGAATAGAATGATGAAATATGAGAGAGGAGTGAGTGTTATTATTTCTAGTGCAGTGCTATAGATGAACTAAATTGCATTGCATCTACAGCGCAAACTCACAGCAAATCCTTCTTCTATTTTTCCTGGTGAGATAAAGTTCTTCCCAAATGATATTCCACCTTCAACCTAATCTCCTTCATGGATAAATTTACTCAAAGGGCAGAATTCCTGATGGCTGGAATAATAGCATTATTAAAATCAATATTTTTTGATTAATATCAGGTCTGGAATATATTAAAGAAAGCTATAAAGTACAGGGGAAAAAAGCTTGCTTATCATTTTCAGTAGTAACCCAACTACAGCCCTTCATCTGTAATGAATGGTGGAGCAATTCCCCTAAATCATCTGTATGAAGTCAGCTATGACACTGCCAATTTTAAAAAATTTGCTAGTTTTGAGCTACAAATTGATTTTTTATTGTGACAAATTAAAATCCAATAGTAGCCTACAAGATACTAAACATACAGAAGCCTACATTTTTTCAGAATATTTTTTCTCTTTTCTATCACAGCAGACCGCCATTGTGGCAGACGTGACAGCAGTAGCCGATGATAAAAATTAAGAAAGGATACTCTAGAGAGGTAAATGACCTTCCCAAATAAACAATAAATGAGCACTGTGCCCCAAAATATCCATCTGGGAATCCCAAAATTACAGAAATAGAACTAAAGAGAAAGCATTGCGGGGGACAGGGAAGGCAGTTAAAGGAGGAGAAAGCAAATGCAAGTTTATCCATGCTGTTCCCTATTAAGGGCATATTTTTTTTCCCTGTTGCACGAATGTGAATGTCAGTCTCCAAACTTTATAAACTCTTAAGTTTAACATTGATACCAGAAGATCTGTGTGAGCAAACCACAAACTTTTTGCTGCCCCTTTCCCTTCTGTCCCATCAGAAGAGCCAGGCTGAGTAATTGTATACCCCCAGTTTTGCCAGCTTGTGGGATGTAATCTATCGCTTCTAAATCAAGAATGGGATTATCAGTGTCCTTCATTGCCTAATTGCATCATCCTTAATTTGCTTTATAGGAGGCTCCACGTTATAGCAGTAATGCAGCTTTCTTTGGGGGTGACTTTAGCACACAGACATCGACGTGAGTCTACACGGACGGTATTATTTACTACTACGACAGCTGACATCCCTTAGCATTACACCAGGACAAGCCAAAGCCATATGGATGAGACACAGTGCATCACCCCTAAATATTTGTCTCTTGTGCTGTGGAAAGCACCTTGCCTCAGTAGTGCTCCTGCAGGCTCAGAGAGCCCGGAGACACTGTCGGGATCTGTCCATGACCTGTTGCTGACGTTACCCAGTGTATTTCAAGGAATGGGAATGAGATGACAACTGTAGGCTGACGAAGCAGAGACAGGCTGCATGAGAGAGATTATGAGAAGAGCAGGTCAAGGATGTGACACTTAGGGACATGGAGAGACCCAAGCTGGGGAAAAAGCCGAAGGGATGGTGGCTGTGAAGAACTGGCAGAGGAGTTCATGCACTCTTGCTTGAAAAGCTTGGCATGGAAAGCACGATTCTCCTGCTTTCAAAAAAACATATTAAAACTGATGTCAAAAGCTCCCCACATCCCTCTGTCACAGTCCTGTTCCAAGACAGACAACTCAATACTCCTGTCCATCACTCCGGCAGCTCAGGGGCAGACAGCTGGAAGGTGGATTTAAAGGTTTCAGTCTAAGCCTCAGTGAGTGAGTGACAGGGTTACTATAAGGATGATATAGTTATGTCAGACTTAGAGTATAGGGTGTCAAAGTTATGAAATGAAGGAGACTTGTTCTCATGTCCCCACCACACTAGTTGCAGACAGGAGAGTGTGCAGGACGCTGCAGGAAAGGCAATTTGGCTAAACCACACCTTTGTTTCTAAATGCATTCCCTTTTCCCTCTTTATTTTATGAAAATAAATCCTATGTTTGTGAAACATTCAGAGACAAGTGCCACAGGACAAGTCTCTCTCTCTTCTTTTTTTATTTTCCCAAGAAAAAGCTTTAGTCTTAGGAAAGTAACTGTGGCCTCAGTGCAATTTGCAGAGCGCATGGCAAGGCAGTAGGCTGCACGCAGAAGAAAAGAAAACAAAATATTACCATACTGTTCAGTGTATTACACTCCGTTCTGTACACTGAATGAAGCTGGTATCCCCTGGCCAAAAAAAGGTATGTCATCGCATAGTTAAATACTACCCTAATGTCTATTTATTAGAGGACCCAACCACGACTGCACTGGCAGCCCTAATCCTGACATTTCCTATCTTCTGAACACAGGCTGTAACCTCAGCAACGTTCTCTTAAACACTGCTTTTGTATGAATACTTTACACATGCTGTACAAAACACATTCCAAATGAGCTTTTCATTACTAACTACTTGTATTATATATCAGTGAGCTCAATGACATTGATTTTCTAATAATATAAATTAACTGGCAAAGATAATTTCATCTATCATCAGTAGGGTTTTATTTCTGGCATCATGCTAAATAGTTAATCTTTCAAAAGATTAAATCAAGAGCTTTTTAAAATTCAAGGCAGAGCTTAAACTGCTGTAAAAATCTTCTTAATTAGGATTAAAACAGTTTGTGTGTTGTTGCTTTATATCTCAGCAGTATAATGTTTTGCTTAGGTTTCTTCTTTCAGAGCAATTTAAAAAATCAAACATCATATTGCTGTGGCAAAAAACTGCATAAGGCATGGAAATCTCCTGCAACTTCCTCGACCAGGTGCTACTGGATGAGTTTCTGCTTGGCAACCTCAAACAGCAACCTTAAACTTTCCAGTATCTTTTACCTGCAACTCCATACAATATATACTCTTTCTACCACTGATGATACAAAAGTTCTGATTCTTATGGTTACTGAATATCTGACAGAAGACAGTGTCTGCTCGTTACTAGGAGTATATCGCATTATGGTGACTACGACTGTGCTGATCTGGAATTATGGACATGACAGAAATTCTTTAGGATTCCCCTGGGAGTCTTCAGGGCAATCCTAGCTAAGTGTGTGCTGCTCCCAGCAGCTCCCCAGCTCCCAGTGCACTTCCTTTTCTCTCTCTATCTCAGGCTCAGGGAAAACAAGCTTCATACTCCTGGGGTAGTCTGCAGCTCCCTGTTTCAGCTTGTTTTCTTCTCCTCAGCTTCCCATGACACAAAGGGCTCAATCCAAGACAATCCTAGTCTCTAATCCTAATCCCTTGTCATTAGACTCTCGAAAGTCACTTGGTACTGCTGGGGAGTCTTAAGCAGCATCCAGAGGACTGGTGCAGTTGCGTCCAGGCTGGATGAGAAAACCCATACGGGCACAGATACCATGTACCATGGACTGCTAAAGCCTTCCGCGAACAGTGGGCCAGTATTTCCAAGAAACAATTTTTTAACTGGCAGAAGGAAAACAAATCCCTTCTTGCCGCTTTCTGGACTCAGAGCTGTGAGTGTTTATGCACCTAAGAGCATCTGTGTACTCAAGTAAGTGGTTCTGCAGGAGTATGCAGGACAAGGCTCTACGATAAACCACATCCCCATGCTACACTTTACACCTCAGTCATCTAATGGCTTGCTCTGATATATGATAACCCTTTATCAAGCTTGTCAGATGCTTCATGTGTGTTTACACTGGTGAGATATTACTGCCCAGCCAGAAAACACTTTTAAAGAAACATCCATGAAAAGATTCAATTTTGTTCCATCACGTGATTATTTTACTTACCCCTGTCTTTTCATCGAAGATTTTGATTCCCCCAAAGGAGACTGTTAAGAAGATTTTTTGTTTATGTTCTCCTTTCGAACGAGCCGCAGCAACAATTCCCTATTGAAACAAAGAACAGATCAGCCGGTTTCATTACTCTTGTAGGTGCCACAGCAGAGCACAAAGATTTGCTTGTGGACGCTTCACCACTTTTCTAGGAAAACCTAAGGGCTTTCCAGGAACAGTCCCCCTCTTACTTCTGGCTTCCTCCCTTTTGTCAAGGTACCACATCTCTTTATGCTACCCAGAGAGCATCTCAAATGTGCTCCCACTTCCAACCCCTGCACCAGCTAATCCTCCATGAAATTTGTTTTCATGGAAGCTGAAGGTCATTTCTAGCACGCTTTTTCCAGCTGTAAGCTGTTTTGTTTTCTTTTTTTAAAGAAATAAAAAAGAAAACAAACAGTGGACGAAAAAAGTGCCAACAACTTTAGCTTACTTCATGGGCATACTTATCTGGAATAAGCAAAATCAAACTACACCTCCGCTGTAAAAAACTGGTATTGAGGGTTAGTTCTTTTCACAATCTCAGGCTTTTACTTCTCAAATGAACTTGCTGATATGCGTTTCACATATTATTCTCCCACAGCATAACTACAACAGCAACTCCTATTTCCACCTTCTCAGGAGCCTGCCCTGATGAATAACACCGTGCTAAGATCAAACGTAATCAATTGCACTAGTAAATAAAGTATTTAGCCTTTATCTGGTGCTCTGCAATTTCAACATGTTTTAACAACCACTAACTTATGTTTTAAGACCTTCATGAGGTCATTGTTCTCATTACACAGACATGAAAATTAAAGAGAAAAAATGGAGTCATTTGTCAGAACTCACTCCAAAACTTTATGCCTGGCCTTAAAACTCATGTTGCTAGACACTAGGTTTCCAGAGCCCGTAACTTCATACTATGCTGCTTATGCACAAACATGAATTTCTAATGCTCCCTTCCCTTAATAGTTTCAGTCTTCTAACAACACTGTTTAGATCAATCTTGCCACTATGCAAACAGGTATCAGGCATCTGGGAGATGTGGAAATGGTAATCCATGGAAGAGAAAGGCAAAAAGGCTTGTGCAGCAGAACAGTGACAATCCTCCCAAATTGCTCCTAGGAACTATGAAATGATGAGAAATATCCAGTATACAATTAAAACAGATAGGATATTGTGGCAGATTTGATAAATCAACGGTGCACCTTTTAGAATAGTTTTTGCTTTTCATAAAATGTTTGTAACTGATTTGTAAATTATCTACCAGATCCTTCTTTCAGATTGTTGAACCATAAGATGCATGTCACCCTTTGCTGTTTATTCATGGATAACCACCTATTCCTCCCAGTTCCTCAGGACTGGAGCCCTGCTAGTTGGTAGTGTAAAAGATACTACTTAGTGATTTCTCCTCCTGAAAAAAATTAGTAATGGGAAATCCGTCAGCTCTCTACCATGGTAGAGTACTGGGGAGAGGACTGAAAGGAAAAAAATGGGAAAAAGACTGCGGAGGGTTTAGTCCCAGACCTACAGTCCCTACCCCAGTAATCCTATAATGCAGATGGGAAGCCAACAGCCAACACTGCACTCAAGCTTCCTATAGAAAGCTCTTAGGCTCCTTGAGGGTTGTAAGAAAAGATTAAGCCAGAAAGAGGGTGTCTAGCGTGCTCCAGAAAGTTCACCCTCCTACACCACTAGTGCTTTCAGACTCTGTCTACTCTCTAAGTTTGCAGTCTAATCAAAATCCGCTTTTGTCTCTGCTCCATTTCTTTCCCAAAACTCTGGGGACTCCTCTTCATCCTCCGACGCTCTGTCCTCTCAGTGCACTACCTCTTGATATTGTAACCCATCAATCCTGCCATTACAGGTGCAAGACGTTATCCTCCCAGTGAGGACACTAGTTCCCCCCTATATCTGGCTACCTACACCCCACAACGTCACTCACCCCTTCCTGCCTGTCCCGACAGGAGATAACGGTCAAAGGCAGGGCTGTAGTTGATTAGCACTGTCAAATAAAATGTTCTGATATACCATTTTTCTTCATAGTGGTTTACGTCCCCTTTCGCATAATAAAATTATTCAATTTGCAGATGTGTTGTTTATAATTTGTGGACAAATTGCAGTGGTGTCAATCATGAATAACTACTGAATTCAGAGATAATGTATTAAAATTAAACTGGGATAAGCAATACCAGCCAGGAGTTCATGTAAAATTGACTGATTTCAATATATAATTAACCAGAGTGTGACTCAGCGTCACGAAAGGAGAATGAGTAAAAGTTCAAGCTGAAATTTGCTCCCCTTGACTCCATAATATTAAACATTAAAAGCTTCACTGCACCTTGAGCTTCATCATGGAGTCTTGGCATAACTTGTCTCCTCGTGCGGCAGAAACCTCATCTATCCCAATCAGTTTTGCTTTGTATCGGACACCGTCACCTTTAAACCTCTTTATTAAAGTGGCTTCACTGCGATCCTGACCTGAAAAGACATAAGGGAAACAAGGAAACTTGCTTGAGTGCAAAGGAAAATAAACGAATAAATACTCGCAGTTAAGTGGCAAATTAGATCTGACTCCTACCTCAACACCTAAACATGTGAACATTTCAATAAAATTAGAAGAAAAGTACTAGTTCAATAAAACCTTTTGCCTTACTACCTCAAATGAATTCATAGTGGAATTGTTGCCATACAAAATCTTCTGCACGAAATTTGCACACAAATTAGGTTTACAGAAATAAGAGATAAGCCTGAATCAGACCTCATGGATCTGAAAACTTCTGATCTGTACAGGTTGTTTTAATCCCAATACACTTGAGAATTCCTCATTTTGCAGACAAAACTCTGATAGAAACATGTTACTATGTCCTCGTATACTGACTTATCTAACCGTATCGGCAATATTTACACTATTACCATTTGAATGAAGAAAAAACAAATGATGTTACTTGCCTATAGGATATTGCTGCTCTAAAACCTCCACAAAAAATACTGTCTCCTTGTCCTATTCTTTCTGCTTATAGACATATATAGAAAAAACATAACGAGCAATGTTGGCTCTCGGAGGCTCACCCTCAGAAGCTTAAAAAATGGCACAAGATGTTTCTTAATAAAAAAGCAATCAGGGATAAGATAGCACAGTACTGATAAGGCCGATGTACATAAATTACAACGCCCAGACCAGCCTGAACCACACGACGATGACACTACAGCAATCCATGAAAGGGATAGTTTTGTCAGGAAGACTTTTTCCCCGAGTATCTGCAGAAGAGTTTATTCTGTGTCTTAGCTGGAAGGAATACGTTAGTTAAGGAATCAGTCTTCCTAAAATTGATTAAAGATATATTTTGCAGCTGTCTGTGGAATTTCTTGCTAGGATCTCAAAAAACCAGCAGTGAACTGTAAATAATTGCAACCAAACAAGTAGCCAAACAAACAACTTCCAAGGCACAGAGAAAGGCATAAAAATGTGAAGAATTTGAAGTTTCTCGGACCCAACAGATTCCACCAGAAAACTTCCCTAAACATGGATTGACGTTGCTAAAATTTATACTATTACCACCTAGGGGATCTAGTCACAGATTTTGCCCCATCATTCTAGCTATTGTAAAAAATGAATGAAGAGCTAGAGCCTGCTATAAATGAACCATTGGTAAGACTCTAGTGTTAGACACCTGTATTTGAGAATTTTGGCCTAGATTTTCTCCAAAGCTCATTCCTATTTGAAAAGTCAGATTAAAGCACAGGAAAAATAATAAAATCTGCTTCTGTGCAGCTAGTTTTTGATAAGTAGAAGTACAGAAGCTTTGGGGAAAAAAGCTGTTCTGTTTTGCATTTCTATTAAAAGCAGCTTTTTCAGCAGTCAACACTTCGGTCAACTTTGCTAGTGTTACACACCCATCAAGTGGATGAATAAACTATGTTCAAAACTATGGAACTGAAATTTTTACAGTACCATTACAGGAAAAACTAGAGAGCATACACGACCAATGAAGAGTACTTCCAATTGAAAATACTAATTTGGTTCTCCTTCCTCGAGAGTACAGCACAGTCCACACTGTGAACTAATGATGGACTAAATGTGTTAAAAAACAGAGCTATTTTAAGCATACTGAGATCTCTGAGTGTGTTTGAGCACACAAACACTATTTCTTTCAATGAAAAATATCAGCTCAGACCAATGTTTTAATGCCTCATTTATAGCCCCTTAAAAACAAGGCAGCTGATTAAGTGTTGCTATGGTATTTCAGTGGCCACCCAACTGTTTCCCTCGATTCGTTTTCACTCCTGCTCCTTCAAAAAGAATTAAGCAGAGGTTTGAAACTTCATGCTCTTACACTATATTTAAAAAAAAAAAAAAAAATCTAATGAGACACAAATGATAAGTCAGAAACTTGAAGTAGTGCTAATACCAATCCCCAGGGAAATGCCAAGGCAGATGTTGGCACCGTCAGCTAAAAACAATGAAAAACTGTTTTCCACTTTCGGCTCCAGAGTGGGGCAGGAGGGACAACATCTGGAGAAACAACAAAGTACAACGGTAACAGTGGACTTTTCCATATGTCTTTTATACTTGCAAATATATCCTATTGATTTGCAGTAAATAAAATCCAATTCCAACAGCTTTCTTGCCAACAATTTTCAACCCTACATCTTCGTTACAGCCGAAGACAGCTGTTAGCTAACAGCATGAGCATGTAAGTGTTCAAGAGTGTTTCCTGGGTCCCAGTCATGACAGCGACCTTGCATTCATCAGTTATTTGAACATTTATACTTATTCCAACCTCTGATCTATTTTGCTGCACGTAACTAAATCCCTGACATTAATAGCCCATTCAAACACAACTTAACAGCTATGTTTGCTTATGCAAAAGTCCCATGTCAATTATGACCCAGATTAAGTAGGATAAAGTGCTTTTGGGATAAATGACTGGGAAAAATCATCAACCTGAAAATGATGTAGATATTTTAAACTGCGGTGGAAACCGCAAATTACTAGAGACTACAAATTCATCCGTAAAACCCTAGAGCATATGTCCCATGAAAAAGCATAGAGAACGCACACACACACTGCCCTATATTATAAATCAGCCGTCTGCAACAGTCACCATTTCTCAGCATACATCCAGATCTCCCCCGATATATGCTCATACTGTATTTCCAAATTTTGGTGCTGTCATCAGCACTGAAAAACTTTCTACCTGCTTGGAAAATTACCATATGACAAACACTGTCAGTATGGTTGATTTTATAGCACTCATGAGATGTGAGATTTATGCGGGGTGATACTTCATTTGCACACTGGACACTTAGAAGGCAGATAGTCCAGACTCTCATAAACATAGAATCATTAAAACAAAAAAGTTTTTTTTTCTTAATGACAGTTCTTGAACAAGGTTCTGTCTGTGTTTGAAACGGCATAAATAAGAGATGACTGAATTATGAGGCTGTAATTCTTCTTAAGCTTCGGAGGAGGGTGAGGGCTAACATTAAACCACTAAACCAGAGAGCTGTGCCTGTGCCAGAAAGCCGCCCAGGAAAGTGCTGCCTCTTTCTTTCAAAGAGTCAATCTTTTCTTCTTCGCAGCTCCTGCCTTTATCGGCGAAGACCCGCAGTTGCGCTCGGCTCTCCAGCCACCCCCTGCCACCGCACTTGCTCGGTCCCAGCCTGCGGGAAGGAGGATTATCCTGGATGCGGGGCTGCACTTACTGCCGGAGCTCAGTTTTATTTGAGTGATGAGAAGCCACGTCTTGGGGCTTTCACTCTCAGCTCGCCTTCCTCAAAATACGAATAACACCTCAAGGGCAGGAAGGGGACATTCATAAACCAACTACGAACACTTTATGGGAAACTGAAGCTTCAGGTCTCAAATCATTACTAGACCATAATCTACAGCAAAATTAGAAGCACGTGTTTAATGACAACCGCTTCTTTCCACAACACATATTTCCTGAGATCTCATTTTAGGATTTCTTGACTGCAGGAAAGTCCACCGCTGCCAAAGCCATGCCAGGTGAGCAGCTGATGTCCATCTCAGTTGTCCACGGTACCCTGCGCAGACAGGGATCTGCCCAGCGTTCTTCATCAGAGGACTAGCACCACTAGGTCATTCTAAAATGATCCTAAACTAAATTTTTGTATTAAAACTTTTTAAGCTTCAAGACCAATGACTATTTTCGAATGGTTTTCTCTAAAACGCTTTCATAAATATATTTTCATAAGCAAAGAAATACCCTAAGCATTTGTTCACAACTCGACACAAGCACTTCACAATCCAAAATGGAACCAGATTATCAACAAAAATAAAAACAATTTGATTCTCACGCCCCAAACTGAGAAAAAATGCAAAAGCTAAAAACCCACCACCACGAACGTCACACAAATTCAATTTATAAAGGTGATCAGTTTTAATTAGAAAATGTGCCCCTGTTGACACAGGCAAAGAAATGTTTTGTTTGCAGCATATAGATTTATAATCCTCAGAGGCCCTTAAAATGTAAATGTAAGAGTAATTATTTTATCTACTTCTATAGATGTCACCGTTCACCTTTAAGCCATGTGTTCCAGGTGGAGCCACTGCTCCTGCGTAAGTGGGAAAACACGACCTTTGCTGCTGAATTGTGACATTGCACTTGGACTTCCTCAGTCTTTTAAGAGAACAATAAATCCCCGGAGCTGGGTGATGCAATGTGCTTCTGAGCTTGCATCTAAAGTAGAGAGAGGCTTATCATCATGATCAGCGTTAAGGTATTTTATCCATCTCACTGAATATACTGTAAAAGTAATAAAAAAGGTTTTTAACACAGTCAGTAATTTTTTATTCGAGGCAATATACCTTAATTAAACTCAGATTTTGTAAAGCAAGACCTGAACCCAGAAGCCTAAGTACTCAACCCAAGTACCTCAAGTGCATTCAACCCCAAGACGTGACTGGTAAACAGTCCAAGAGGAGCGTAAGCTGTCGTGGAAGATCCAGGTCAGAGCAGCCCAAGTTGAGTGCCGGAGGCGGGTGCTCCCCAGGCCATACCCATCAGGAATGGTCACTGGAGCCGCTCGGGGGACGCTACCGTCACAGCAGCCCGCCAACTGCCACTCAACCCTGACTTTGGCGCCAAGAGGGAGAGCTAGCTGTGTTTGCATTAGGTTATCTGGCTCCAAGTAATGCTCTTAACTTTGCAGACTGAAGCTCACGCAAGGTTTTCTTCCCAGGCACTGTGTATTTTGGTGAGTGTCTCAAGAAGACTTACCCTCACTCTTGGTACAAGTCAAGGATTACACTTGATTTCGGCACTTAGCCCAACAGAGCACCAAGCTACCGTTGTATTAATATGCTAACATTTAGAGCAAACGCTGTTCATTCTCCCAGGGGATCTGTAAGTAAGCCTATTTCATAAATAGAAAAAGAAAATAAACCAAAGCATCACTTCAATAAGCACACTGTTGCTTTTTCTCTATGCTCTTTTAACACACTACGCATTCTT